GTCTAAAACCCCTGATGAAACTTGAGAATTGGTTTCTCTTTTAATGATTTCCAAAATTCATTTTAAGTATGACTGCTGTGTGCTTATCTATGCAAAATTGTTTAGAAATTTAAACAAATAAAAGGACCAAGAAGCTGATGACTCAGAGGTGACAGTATCTTCCTGTGGCATCTTGGCTTTTGTAAGCCAAGATGTGCAACATACTGATTTGAAAAGGTTGTGGGCACTCCAACACTGGAGGTTTCTAAGAAGAGATTGGGCAACCATTTTTATGAAATAGTGTAGGGCTTCCTGCTTGAGCGCAGGGATTGGACTAAAGGCATACTAAATTATTTTAAAAAAACCTAACCAATATTTACACTGGAAACATTTGCTCCAATAAACTCTGACTTCTTTTAAAGTAAAGTACTGTATGTATGTATGTATATCAAGTTGTATGTCAAATTACAGCAAATCTAACATTAAGCTAATCAGAGAAGTATCTATATTAGGATGGCAAGCCTATGATAGATGTGGTAAAGATAACATGCATCAATGTTTTGCATGACACACCAGCATTCACCAACAACACATCATATCTTCAACAATTTTCACAGACTGATGGAGCTATACAAATATGGAGGGTGTTCTTGCATGGTCTCTGGACCCTCTGAAAATTGCCCAAAATAGAGAAACGATTTGCAAAATGGTTTTCTTAGGCTGCAGAAACCACGGAAGAATATTCTCAGAAGACACTTCAAGACCCAGAACAATCTCTGGTAGGCCTCAGAAGCCTGTCAACAGAAAGAGAACATAGCATCAAGATAAGTGACATGAAGCAGATCCTGGGGAGCACTGAGCTATGTGGACAATCATGCTATTACTCTAAGGCTCATGGGCCTCAGGGAATGGCACAAGATATTCTTTCTGCAGTGGCATTTAAGAGTTATCAAGTATGAAGATTGTATCAAGATCACCTGACATGAAAGTATTGCTTTATACTGCACTAGTGAGGCCACACTTTGAATATTAGTGCAACAAAGATAATTTAGGGACCGGAGGCTAAACCACATGATGAACAATTGAGAAAACTAGTTATGCATAATCTAATGGAAACAAGGATTACCGTTAAAAATGATAGCTGTCTTCCAGTATTTGAGGGGCTCTTACAGAGAAAAGGGATTTGAACCAAGGGCAGGACAAGAAGTATTGGATGGAAGATCAATAAAGGGAGATGCTACCTGGAATTAAGGAGAAATTTCCTGTCAGTGAGAACTGACTTGCCTTCAGAAGTTATGGGTGCTCCTTTACTGGAGGTTTTCAGGTGAGATTGGACAGCCATTTATCAAGAATGATATATGTTTCCTGCTTGAGCAGGGTATTGGATCAGAAGACCTCCATGGTCCCTTCCAACCTTGTTATTCTATCAAATTGAGGCTTGCGCCCAGCTTCATTGGTGCTATTAAGTCTACTGTTCAGGCTCGTCTAGATCAGGAGTCCCCAAACTTGGCAACTTTAAGACCAGTGGACTTCAACTCCCAGAATTCTCCAGCCAGCTATGCTGTTGAAGTCCACAAGTCTTAAAGTTGCCAAGTTTGGAGACCGCTGGGCTAGATGGGCAAAGGGCAGGGGTGGGATTCTACAGGTTCGCACCTATTCGTTAGAACCAGTTGTTAACATTCTAAGCAGTTCGGAGAACCGGTTGTTAGAAGAAATTACTGGCCTAATCCTGTAAGGAAGGCAGGAAGGAAACATTCTGGTGTTGCTTACAGAAACAGCCTCTCCTTTAAGCCTTATTACATTCTTGGCAGGACTAGGCTTCCTGTCTCTGGAACTTCTCTGGAGTTTTTTCCCCCTCCTTTGCTGCTACTTTGGTTGTGTGGATTGACCATTCAAAGTTACAATGGCACTGAAAAAAGTGACTTATGACCATATTTCACACTTATGACTGTTGCAGCATCCCCACAGTCATGAGAGGCGAGGAGATGCGTGCCTCAATGTGAGTGATGTTGAGTTGGTCACACCCAGCCAGTCACATGACCACCAAGCCATGCCCGCCAACTAAGCCACACTCACAGAACCGGTTGTTAAAAAATTTGAATCCCACCCCTGGCAGAGGGTAGATAGAAAATAGTGTCTCTTTGTTTGGGATGTATGAGTTTGACAAACCAGCAGAGTCAAATTAGGGATTTTCTGAATTTTTGAAAATATTCACCGCCACTGATCTATGCCTTCCCATTTGGCTATCCCATCACTTCAAAATACTGTATTAAAAAGAAAAGAAAAAACAACTAAATGCCTAAAGTAATATGAGCCCCTCTTATCCCAAAAGCTGGCAGCAAGTTAAATGTATGAATGGACTTAACATTTTCCACCCCAAAATCAATGGCAAAGGGGTCCATGTAAAATCCTGAAGTGTATTTTTTGTATCTTCCCCCTACTGTTGCATTTCTAACTGAAAATTAATCTGTCTCCCATACTGTCTATTAGGTTTTAAATGGCAGTGTTTCCTAAGGAAAGCAATGGGAAAAAAAACCACTGAAGAAAACCTATCCTGCATGTTATCTTTCTATTCCTGCTAATTAATCCTGCCCCAATTTTTAAAATAGCTTTTTTAAAATACAATTTTCACGTGATTGTGATAAAATGAAAAGAGGAACAAAAGGGGAAAGAGGGAAAGAATTTCTTTAAAAGTGTACTTTGTGGCAGAAATGAATTGTGCTTATCTTATTAAATTCATGAAATCTCTCTCTCTTACACTGAATTTACTTCATGTGCAGCACAAGACACCATTTATAGAACTTTTAAAACAACAGCACTTCCTGAAATAGTTAAGTACTCCTGGAGTGTTCAGTGATCACACAATCATTTCATACATAGCAAAAAAAGCTGTGTATACATATCCTATCTAGACATATAGACTTCCTTTCCTGCAGAATAATTTCTTAATCAATATGTTCTAATGATTTTGTAGGGTTTCTTTTTTATAAGTGTAGAGCAGCATTTCACAATCTCAGCAGATTTATGATGCTGGCTGGGAAATTTTGTGAGTTGAAGTTCATGCATAAGTGTCCATGAAGAAAAATGCAGAGATAACCCTGAATAAGAGTTGGAAGAAAAAACTGAAGCAAAATTAAAGGCAATTTTGTTTTGGAAAAAAAAAAGGGAGTATAAGAAAGACACTTAAAGTAATTATGACCTGACCTTTTTTGGTTTAAGAGGGAGCAGAAGGAAACTGGCTGTCATTAAATCCTACAAAAAAGTAGCATTCCTGTTAATGCTGAGAATCATGAAGAATCAAAAGCAAATATTGAATCTAAGCAAAGGAGCAAAGTTTAGCTAAAAGACCAATGCCTGCACAGATTTTTAAGACTACGGTGAAAATGGGTCAGCTAAAAAAATATGTGATAGATTAAGAAAAAAAACAGAAGCAAAAATACAAACATGTAAAGGTAACCAAACAGCATTGCTAAAAGCAAGAATTGTTTTTCTTTTTCTTTTTGAAGGAAAGAACAATTACAACTCCAAAAAATATTCATAAAGTGTTATGTCAGCTATGAGCAGCAAAAATTTAGGCATTGATACATTTGTGAACCTTTCATGTGCCAGAAAAATATTATTTCTCCCACAAGGCACTAATACAATCAATCAGCATTGTACAAATGATGACAAGAAAGCCTAAGAGGAATTTGAAGAGCAAAATGCCTGTAGATTTTGAAAGCTCCTTTCTTTTCACCTGCACATTCCTTTCCCTTCTTGGTGGGAATTTTACAGTGTCCGAATTTCATCTCATGGTCTAGACTGCTGTCAGGAGTCTGTTTCACTTTTCCTGAATACCTTGACAATATATCATCAAATCAGCTCCAAACCCTGTTTAAACCTTCCTTCAGAATAATCAATTTGTCAAATATTTTGTTATTTAAACATTATTTTAAAGTGCACATTCATGTATGCATCTCTTTCTCTCTGTCTCTGTCTGTCTGTCTGTCTGTCTGTGTGTGCATGTGCATGTAACTGATGTTACACATTAATAAAAGAGTCTAGAAACTCCTCTCTAGTTGGATGATGTCATCTCCATTAAAGAAATCAGCTTCCCGCTTTCCTTTGTATAACTCTGGGATGACATCATCTCAGAGCCCTTCACTTATCGCCTTTCCATTTTCTCCCTGCTGAGTTTCAGCAGAGCTGCTTGCTTCCCATAAACCTTCTCTTTTCAATGTTGCCAGGATCCCTTAATCCCCTCCCCCCTTACCCACCCTTTGAATACAAAATGAGTGACCCGTCTAGCCCGAAAGAGAAAGAGATGACAAATAACTGCATTCTGTAAGGCTTTCCTGGAAAGGAGTTCACTTTCAGATACTGTGTAATAATGTAATACAACAGATCAAGCCAGCCAGGGACTCGGAGGCAGTTCCAAGGTACAGCTTCAGGGAACAAATTTAATAAATGCAATGAGATTAGGCACAGAGGGGACATACAGAAATATAATTACTGTTTACATCATCTTCACATTCTCTGCAAGGATTGATTATCACCCTTCCAGAGCTCCATTGGCAAAATTACATAAATGTTTCCTAACATGCATCAAAGGCAGGTGTAAACCAGTGATAATCATCTTGATCAAACCACATTAATGCTTATTTGGCCAGGAAAGTACTCAGGCTCTAAAGGATGGTTGCAGCCTTACAAATAACTGGCAATTTCTAGGGTTCGATCTCCAAGATTGAGTTGCTGATTTTTTAAAACCTGAATAATTTAGGATCAGAGACTCCAGGATCCCAAATATGAATAAATGGTAATAGCACTTCATTGATTTAGGTTGATCTTGAAATTATTTCATCATCTTGGACCACCAAGAATTTCTTAGAACTATAGACTAGACCGAGGGCTTGAAAATAAACATCCCAGAAGAATGCAATATGAGTAACTTCCATATTATTGTAAAAATAAAACTACATAAAATCCATAGGAATTTAGGAGTCAAGTTCAAGAGAGAATTTACTTTTCCAGCTCTACATCCTGTCAAATTGCATAACAGTCTGGTTTGGAAGCATTACTGCTTCGGACAGGAAGGCAGTGGAGAGAGTGGTGAGGATGGCAGAAAAGTTTATTGGTAGTTCACTTCTTTCTATCCAGGACATAGCATATAAGCGATGCTTGACCAGAATCCACAGTATTGTCTGAGATGCTATACATCCTCTTCACGACCTTTACTTTCTGGGAGGAGCTTTGTGGTATCTGAAGCAGAATATCCAGATTCAGTCACAGTTTTGTTCCATATAGTATCAAGCTTGTGAACTCTCAAGTTTCCTCTTTCTGCTATGTATTCAAAATGGACAGTGATTAATGCATGCATGCATGTATGTATGTATGTATGTGTATGTTTATAGCATGTACATATGTGTGAAGTATGTCTATGAGTAGACATATACCTTCTTTTGAGAGCAAGCAACAGAATGTCATTTTTAATATTTTTATAATAAAAGAAATTACAATAAAGGTTAGGGGTATCTTGCCATTGGTTATAGCACCAAAATCCTTGGATTCCCTGTTTATTTTAATATTTTTAGATAGCTGGGTGATTTTCCACAGAGAATGTATCTATCATATAGATCAGTGATAATAACAACAAAATGTACATCAACGAAAGATATAATTGCTAATATTGGAATAAGTGAACAATAAACAAACCAGTCCACCCATATACAAGTACTTTTTCTGGAAACTAAAATGGAAAAAGGACATAACCCTCAACTGATAGTGAGAAGCATGGATCTGTCTCTCAGAGCAAACTTCTACATTGCAAGGAAGTATTAATTACAGCTGGGTGCAAAGTTATCAAGTTTCCAACAGCTCCAGTTTTGTTACCAGTAACAAAACTCAGATATGCTCAGATCTTAGGACAGGGCCATATTTATCATTAATACATGCTAAGCTTCTCTTGTTTGTCTATGGATATTCTCTACCGAAAATTCAAGTAGAAAGATTCTTCAGGGTTATTCCTTGTGTGTTACAATGTCAGCAGAAGAATATGGTATCCTTCCTGACAACTGACATCCTCCACCACAACCCTTCCCTTCACCAGCAACATAGCATCATGCCAATATAGTAACTCTTCAAACAGTTTTGGGCAGGAGAACATTGTACTATTAGTGTTAATATTTTGTTCCACAATGCCAACATCAACTGAAATACTTTCCACTTTACAACCAGCTGAAGTAATCATATGAGAGAAGAGCATTTCAGGTCAAAGCTATCTTGTATGACTTTTTAAAAATGTATTGGCACTCCTACTATAAATCTGTAAAAAAAGTTTATAATAATATAATGCTATGCTATGCTACACTATGCTATACTATGTTACGCTACCCTATACTGCACTAGAGTAGTTGTCACTATTAACACTACCTTTTAAATATTTTTAAATTGTAACATTGCTATAATCATTGTATTCCTAATTACAAGAGTGCACAGTTGTCTCTGGGAGAATATCACATTTTTTTCCTTACCAAAAATTGTTATGGCCAAGCCCTGTGGTAAAATTGTTAGACAAAACGATTGTGGTTAATGAAAATATAAAACAAAAATTTAAAACTCAAACAAAAAGAAAGCAACTCACACACACATATAAAAAAAACCACATTAACTTGGAGGATGGTTTCCTGCTGATTTGGGGTAGAAATCATTTCTGCCAAATTTCCAAAATATCAATATGATTTACCATTTACTTTCCATAGCATCTGAAATCCAGTAGACTCATCTATTTGATCAGAAAAAAACACCACATGAAGACTGGAATTCGTGGTAACTCCAGATGGGAGAATACTATCTCCACAAAATGTGCCAATCAAAGTGGACTGAGTATTAGGGCCATCAAAAAGCTGAAAGGAAGCAGAAAAGATTTATAGGTGAGATGCTGGTTATATTTTTTTAAATATCTGATTATAGTAAAAAGGATTATGATTAAGTATATGCTCTCTCTAAGTGGAATTTACTTGACTCCATTCTTCTACTTGATTCCATTCTTTTCATAGTATCTTCATCACTGTTTTCCCAGCCTTTCAACTATCATAAAGCAAATTTTTGCAGCAAGGAAACATTTGTCATAATGTCGGGTACCTGCTAGGGGAATTCATATTCCCACTTCAGGGAAAATGCCAGCAATGGACCTGTTGATATGAGGAGAAGAGTACATGCATTTCCCCCTCCATTTGAGTAAATGAAGGACACCAATAATATTTGCAATTACTGCAACTGTGGATTCCAAGATACATCCTCTCCAGTCAGAATAAAAATCATATCATTTCCAAGTACTTGGAAACATGGGTTGTATCCTTGAACCAATGTTCCTGTTCTGCTGTAACTTCTTGCTTGAGATTTATTTTGTTTGTGAACAGGATTGCAGTGGGAGTGATGAAAAGAAATAGAAAGAGATAGCCAAAAGAATCTGGTACTGACAATAGTTTATCTCAGAAAACACCTTCCCCTTCAAGTGTTCCTTCCCTCTATTTAATCAGTTGAGAGAAAGGCACACCTCCAATGTCACAATTTCATAAATCACTTTTCTTTTGGCAGTCCTTCTGCACAGACTATCTTTCACAAACAGCCAATAATTTCATGTTGCACAACTTCAATTTGGTCCCCAAGGGAAGACATTATTAAATTCAACTGAAAATAAGACAGCTGTAAATATTAAAAAGCTCAACAAGAGCTAAAGTGGAATGCATTTGCTGGAATTTTGCAGTGGTTAGAAAAGGAAAGGACAGCTGTGTTATCTTGGATATCTGGATGGATATTCAATCAGAAAAGTGTTTTCGGGAGATCAGAGTTTTTTCACCCTTTCTCATTTTATATTTTACTTGAGAGCATTGATAGAAAGTAATGACTACAGAAGACAAACAGACATTTCTCTAATATTTATAATTTAGACATTAAACTTGGTGACCAAAAGACTGTCAAAATTGTTTCTCCTTTTTGAGAAAGTACCTGTGCAAATCTAGCCCTTTTATTTCATGGATACCACTACTATAGAGTTAGAAATTACTTATTTTCCAGCCACCAGATGCCCTGGGGAGAGTTGCGTGCTCCAAATAATATTATTCAGTCCATCTTAATTGAAACTAATAGGAACAAATCCAGCACATTGGCTATCTAACCCTGACTATCTTTCAAATGAAATCATCCTTCTTTAATCCTGATCTCAAATGGAGCCCAAAAATAGTGTCGTGGCATGGAAAACAAAGCTAAAAACAGATATTCCTTGACTTACAACTGTTCATTTAATGACCTCTCTAAGTTACAATGGCACTGAAAAAACGTATGGCTGTTTTTCAGCCTTAGAAATGTTAATGCATTCTCATGTCAAATTCCCATAGTTAACATACATCTATAGGGCTGAATCTGGAAGATTTTTTACATGACCAACTAGTGTATATTGTTTTATATTGTGTATATTGTACAGTTTTAACAAATATTAGTTTTTATTCTTTGTTTTATTATTATACAACCTCAAACATTCTTCCCTAATCTCACAATGCTGGCTAGGACTGATGGGATTTTTACTCGAACACATAACGAGGCATGCTGCATTTGGACAATCTGTTAATCTAAGACAAATGTGTAGGAAGCAAAACCAGTCACCCACATGATTGGACTACATGAATTATTTATAAAAAAAATTCTGGTTTAAAGGGGGAAAAAAGTCACTGCCAAAAAATGCAAATTTACTTCAGAAATCTTGGGAGTTATCTGTGGTATTTCCTGCAAAAAGGCTTTGACAGAGTATAGAGTTCTGCCAGTGAAGTTCTCTAAATCAAAAGGAAAAATAAAACACATCGATTGGATTTTTACTGTGTCAAATGTTAACTCCCAGTCTCAGAAAAAAAGTCTGGAAACTAATAAGAAAGAATGCCAACTTTAATGAATGACACTTTTGAAATGAAAATAAATTTAACCAATAAATACAACCCAGTTGGAAACAGCTGCTGAAGCAAAGAAGGGTTCTGTCTGCTAGCTCTAAGCAAAAGGTGAAAAGAAAAATTTTGGGGTTTTTTGCAGCAAGAGGCTGTGGGATTGAAAGCACTAAGTTTGTATTCATTATTCCCACTTCGGTTGGAAGGTATTCCGTATTCGGCACATAGTCATGTTATCAATGTGATCATGTAAATGTCTTTGAACAATGATGGCTCCCTTGGCTGGTCAGGGGAAATCTTTACCTTTATACATTATGTATGTTGTATAGAGCAAATCTAAAGTACAACACATAAAGGCTATTTCCAGTTGCTACTTGTGGGCTTTGCTTACTGATTATATGCATTAACTAGAGACATATGCAGCCCCACCCTCACCCTCACTGGTGATGTTATCTATTGGGTAATGTTTTTAATAAATCAACCAAATTCAAAGAGAACCAAAATTACACAATATTATGCTTATTATTAAAAGTCTAAAAACCCTATCCCCAAAAATAGTGGCAACTCTTGCCTTTTCAAACAATCTATTGTATTGGATGTAGATCTGGATTTATTTATTTATTTATGTGATTAATTAATTAATTAATTTGTCGCCTATCTGTCCATGGGGCAACTTTTAGAGGCTTAGAGAAATAAAAAGGAAGAAATGAAGAGTGTAAACAGAAGTAAAGTAATAAACTAATAAAATAAATAATGAACACAATGGGAATACATCAACATAACAAAAAGATGAAGAGGAAGGTGGGGCTGGTGTCGCGGCAGTACGATGTATGATCTTGAAGCTCCAAGATCGCCGTTGCTTGACAGTAACAGTAAAGAGTGCATCCTGTCGATCTTTTTTTTCTCTTTCTCTTTTTTCCTTTTTGCTCTCATATTACTTTATGTTAGAGATTCCTTTTCAGTTTTTCTCTTAAGTTTTTTAAATTAATTTTTTGCTCTTTAAAATACTTTTAACTCTTTTGTTTTTGAAAAGGAGGGGGGAAGTGAAAGTAGAGGAAAATATGTAACACTGCCACCCAGAGGCTTGGAAACATTGTTTTTCTTTCACTTTCTGAGAACAGACAAAGCTGAGAAAGAACTAAGGCTTTTCTTCAAGGACTTTGAGCCTATTTGATAAGATAGAGGGAAGAGCATGGAAAAGGGTTATTACAGATGCTCTTCTGGGTTTCTATCAGTGGCTGGAGTCTGGTGTTGAAAGAAAGTTTGGAATTTACAAAAAGAAGATTACAAGACCCTAGAGAAGAGAGTTATAAAAATTGTTTGGAATCCAACAAAAAGCCTTAGATATTATACAGGTGCAGTGTGTTTTTCTCTTTTCTCTTATTGATAGAAAATTGGCTCTCTTTTTTTGACTTTGGACTTATCCTTTACTTACCCCCTCCCTATTAGCTATTTATTCGTGGTGGACATTTGGGATTTTGGCCTTTTGAAATTTACTTTTGTCTCCTTTTTTAAAAATGAAGTTTTAATTGGGTTTTCACACACACAAAATACAAGTAAAACATCTCTTTTGAAAATAGCATGGTCCCGGGTTAAACTTCTTTATATAGACACAAATTCAATTTCATGCTCATTTTTGTGTTCTATTCCATATCTTATATTATTCTACATTTTCTATATAGTTTTTCTCCTCTTTTAATTTTCTCAATTTTATTTTATTTTATCTCATCTCAATTCAAATCATTATATTTATACTTTTGTCTGTTCGGTTTCAATTTCATATTATCTTTTCTTATTAAACAAATTTCTCCTGTAGTTACTAATTGGAGTATGACACCTTTATATCTTTTAATTGCATCCATTCAATTCTTATTTAAACTTCAATATATACCTTAAGGTTATGACTTTCAATATAATACATAATACATAACTTCCAATCGAATTCTGCTTGGTACATTCTTATAATACACACTATATTCTTTAAAACAAAGGATTATGAATATATGTAATTATAAACCCTCATTCCATTCCAATTCAGTTCTATCATTAATAATCATTAAAGTCTTAACATCTTTAACATTTATTTTCAGTTAAATATCATACTTCCTTAAAAACACATATCATCTCCATAATTGATTTTCCCCTTATTTCTCTTCACATATGTTTTGTAAATCATTAAATATTCATTTTGTAACATTTATTTATTGACAAGCATTCCACTAAGTTACGATAACTATTTTATCAAACATTTTAATCATACATTGTTTCATATTTTCTAAAATTATTTCTATTTTTAATATAACCATACTATCTTATGTACCTTTGCAGAATCCCTTTTTCTATTAGATTTTCACCCATTATCTTTAAATAGGCCCTGTTTCTCTATATTTTGTTTCTGTCCTTTATAACTTCTTTTCCTTTCTTTCTTCCCTCCCTTCTTCTCCCTCCCTTTTTTACCCACTTGTCTCTCTCCTTCTAATTCTCTCTTCTGCATTTCTCTCTTCTGTTGCTTTCTGATTTTATACTTATTTTTCACTCTTTGGGGGGGGGTTGTTTTTCCCAAACTTAAACTTTCCATTCTCTTTCCCCCCTTTCCTTTTCCCCCCCCCACCTAAGATTACTTGTTCATTAAAGATGGCTTCTTCTTTGTCCCAATCTTCCTCTTCTGCAGGCATTTCTTGTTGTTTCTCATAGTTCCAAATCTCCATTTCTAAGAACTGAAATACAAAGCCAAAAGAACCTCTCCCTTATTGTGCATCTTCTTTGTACTTTTTAAGTTCCATTTTCAGTTCTTCTAAAAGTGGAGCCATTTTAAACAGTTTTAAACAACCACCCGATTGATTTTAGTCATTCAAATGCAATAACCAAGAATCCAGAGATCACCAAGTAATCCAAATAGTCCCAAGCTGTTTCTTCTTATTGCTTTTTTCACTTTCTCTTCTCTTACTATTTTGTTGCGATGTTTCAGT